GGTTGCCATGACTGATTTTACAGCACCGGATCGCCAGGCCTTTCTTCCATGGGGCCTGCAGGCAGCCTTGAACTTCCAACCTTCCAAGTGGGACTGAGCGTGTTAACCCTGTGCACCACTTGGGAACTCTGTTCCAGAGCAGAAGCTATGTTGGCTCTCACGGATTCCCTTCTGTGTTGTGTTCGAAAAATACATAAGATAAATAACAGCAGTCACATGATCTTAACCTGCTCACCTTTCTATCAGCATTAAAAATAATTTTCCCCCCAAATGACCTCTGGAAACTCCCACTATCTTATAATTATCAAGAAAAAGAGAGAGAGGGGAAAGGAAAAGGAGCGGTGGAGGGGAGATAGAGAACACAAGAAGAAGAAAAACAAAACAAAACAAAAACAAAGCCACAAGAGGCAGGGAAGCTCTGCTTTGTCAGGGGGAAGAAAATAAAGAGGAATCAGCCCGGCTTCAAAGGGCGCATTTCCATAATTGCCCTGTAACTTGGGCAAAATAAATCTGAGCGGCGGAGAAAAGCACAATCTCTCAGATGAGTGCACGCCAAAGGCCCCGGAGGGCTGTGGGCCCACTTGTTAGCGGCCTGGTGCAGTGAGAGAATGCGGTCTCAGAGCCACACAAAAGCCATGAAATCACAGCCTTCCCTGCGAGCCGAGCCAGCCGGCCCGGCTGCACACACTCACACAGCCTGGTCACACAGGCCGTCAGTAACTAGGTGCGTGGAGGAGCTGGCACTCGTAATTAAGAGGTGAGAGGCACACGTGACCCTTTCTTCTGTGAGAAGCTTCTCATAACCGCTCCTGACACAAATCCCCCAAGAGGAGGCTCCGATGATCCACACACACCCCTCTCTGCGCTCCTGGGGGCCCCCAGTTGGAGGTGGCCTGGGAAGATCCCACTCCAGAGTGGGATTGGAGACCCACTCTCTGTTGCCCTCCCTTCCTGGTGTGTCTTACTTCCAGCGAGTTCTCTCTTAGCTCGGCTTTCCCTTCACAAGGTCAAAGGTTTTTACAAACAAACAAACAAAAAAAAAACTGAGCCAATGTGAGCAGCCTTTTGTTGCCTCTCTCAGAGCAGAGAAAATTTGTTGATTTGTGATTGCCCTAAACATCCCCACTTCCCGTGCCTCTAGGGTTTCCCAAACAAGGCAATAGTGGCTTTCTGGGCCTACTCGTTATTTGGTGTGAAGGACAGTCCTGGACACTGTAGGGCGCTTAGCAGCCACTGCCCCTCCTTCTACCCACTAGATGCCAGGAACAACCCCAGTCAGGACCATCAAAGATGTCTCTAGATATTGCTGACTGTCCCTTGGGGGGAAGTAGAGGGGACGCAATATCACCCTCTACCCTCAGAACCCCAGGCAGATCCCTGCCTTGAGTTCTCCCTCCTTGACTATGGTCTCAGGTTGCCCATCTAATCAGGACGGCCTTCACAGGGGCTGAGCCTCCGTTCAGAGGAGACTTTCAGCGGCTGCATCAAAGCTAGGTTGGTTACACAAGAAGCCAAACTCAAATCCGTTGACACTGATTCTGACACCCAGTAATCGGACAGGACAGAGGAGCATTGCCCCATGGGGCTTCCCAGGTGGAAATCTTTGTGAGTATCCGCTCCCATGTAACCATTGCAAGTTCAAGACAATCCCCTTTGGGTTAACAGCTAAGCACTTAATGACTGGCTGATGGATGGACAGTTAATGTGATCAAGCTGGTGGCCTGCCTCAGATGATAGAGGCTAAGGGGTAGGATCAGGGGGCAGTGTCCAGAGAGGTTATGCGGTCCTCTTGCCCCCCACCATCTTGGGACCCTCACTTCACTCATTTATGCTTAATCTTAGACAACATTCTGTTTGGATTATGTTCATCTATCCCAACCTCTTCCATTTTGCAGAATGGGAACGTGGGACCTAGAACGCGTCTGTGACTTGCCCCCTCAACTTGGAGCCAGCCCTACCCAGAGACACATGTTTACCCAGCTACATTTGCCCGCTTTCTATCGAAGGAAGTGGAGGGGATAGTCAGGCAGAGGGTTGATGGTGCAGAAGGCATTTCCAGAATACAATTAGACCTAAAGCAAGCTCTTGATAGAAACGCCCAACAAACCAGTAAGGCTATCTGACATCCAATTTTCACCCAAACATTCGAGCCCCCTCCCCTAACCTTCTAGAACGCTGGCAGGTGGAAGACGGTAAGCCCTCTGGCCAGGGCCTGGTCAGCAGGTGCCCAGAGAACAATAGCCCCTTAGGTGGACCCTGTCCTCTGCTGCTCCTGGCTAGGGAAGTGGCAGGGGTGTCCCCTCCCTTCCTGTCACCTCCTCTGCGTTAGCCCCCCCAGCTGCCCTGTACTTCCCGGACAATGAATTCAATTGGAGGCCATTAATGTGCCAGTCCCAGAGGTGGGCAATCACTTAGGGAGATAATCTTATTCTCCTCTGTCTCCCTGGCCCCCAGAAGCCCCCCTCCCCCCTGGGCCCCATGCAGATAATGAGGGAAGTGGTGACACAGTCCTGCCTGTGACCTAATTGATTAGCCCACACACCTTGGAGTGCTTTGCATAACTAGTCCCGACAGCAGCAACCCCTTCCAGGCAGTGATTGACATATTTTATTTCTAATTGAAGCTTAATCAGGACCGGGGATGAGATCCCCATCTTCAGTTACTTTCTCTTGCTTTGCCTTTTCCTGTTAAGTTTTAGGAGCGAGCAAAAAAAAAAAAAAAAAAAAGGACCGAAGCAGTTGCAAGGGGTGGGGGGAGGGCTCTGAAGGAGACCCTGGGAAGAAGATGAAGAAATGAATTGAAATGAATGTTGGGAAGGTGACTTCTTTTGGCTGAAAAGCGTCGGAGATACGTTTTGTTTCCACGTCATCCTTTCTTTGGGTCAGGCTCGGCTCTGGCGCTCTTGGAGTGGGAGTGTGCATGTTCTCTGGGAGGAGGAAAGTTCACACACATCTGACCTGCCCTGCCTTCTCCTCCAGAGAGAGGTCCCATCCTGGGCCACTGAACTCCAAGGAGAGAGACCCTGCCTCCCCCCAAAGGACAGGCAGCCTCCTGGGCCTGCCAGCACCCATCTCCCTCTGAAAAGGCTTTCAACTGGGCATCACCTCTGTCCTCACCACCCTCTCTGCCTGCACTTTGCCTGGGAGGCTTCCTGGCTCCAGGGGTACTGCTCCGGTGGCAGGGGCCTGGGATGCCTGAAAGGAGACACCGCATGGTTTTATTTTTACTTGGTAATGGGAAGACTTGGGCTTCTTACTGTCAAGAGCTCAAGGAGTGAGGGGAGGGGGCTCCCCAGTAGGGGTTGTTTACACCCACTACCTCCTGTGTCAGCCCTGGGCATGTTTTATCCTTGATCCTTACAAGAGCGCTGGCAAATTTGGTGTCATCATTTCTACTCTGCAGTGGAAGAAGAGGCAGTAAGAACACAGAGAAGCTCATTATAGACCTCAAGTTTCACGGATGTACACCCCGAGCTAGATCCGGAGGATGACTAGGCTTTCAGGGCACAGGTTGGGGTTGGCCTTGGTCAGATACTCGTTGTGCTGTCCAGAAGTCCACCGTCTGGTCCTGGGCACCTGGTCTCCAAAGTTCAAGGCTCAGCCATCCCACTGTGGGGGCATCACATCTGCTCCATGGCCTGCCTGGGACTGAGTGAGCTCCTAACAGAGCTCAGAGTCCCTGGAGCCTTGGGCTGGGGCTTGGGCCTGGGACTGTGAATCCCTCTGCCCCCAGAAACAGAGGGGAGAGAGGAGGAGGCCCAAGATAAGTCTGGCTGCTGGGCCAGGGGCTGGAGGGTAAGTCAGGCTGTGGATATCTGTCTCTGCTGTCCCAGCCTTTTGTGTACTCTCAGGGCAGCAGACAAGCACAGGGCTCCCTACCCCGTACTCAGCCCTGGGCACCACCACAGGTTCCCAGACTCAGTGGGCAGCAGGTCCAGTGGTCGCAGGCAGTGGTGCCTGCACTGGCCAGGGCCAGTCCATCCCTGGATCCCCTCTGCTCCCCCAGGGAGCCTCAAATAGTACCTATGTGGCTTTGGGGTTGAGAACTCTGTCCAAACCTCCCAGGGGAACTTACCCTACCATGAGGGTCACTTAGCTTCGGGCTGCCTGGTTATTAGCACACAGCACACCTTGGGTCACTGTTCCCTACAAACTCTTCAAGTCCAAGTTGAGCTAGAGCCAGGGGGCTGGGAGAGGCAAAACACCCTGAGATGGTGTGAGGTGCGGCCTGGCTGGAGAGGCCAAGGAGGCAGCCCTTCTGTCCTGTAGAGGGAGCTCCAGCTCCAAATTTCCCGGCTCCCTCCCCAGGCCAGCCTTGGCCACCCCAGGCCAGCCAGGAGCCCCTAGACCTGCTCCCAAAGCTTGCTCTGGGCAGCATCCAGGCCCAGATCAGAACCACTGGAACCTCAGAAAGCTGCCCCTTCCATGGCCTCGGGGAGAACCCCCTGGGTGCTAAGACGCACAGATGGTGTCAGGACTAGCACCCCCATTCTCAACTAGAGCTGGGCACAGCCCTACAAGCTATTAAGTAAAATGGGCCCCTTTGAGCTCCCGGAGGAGCTCTGGCATTGCAGCGTGGTTGAAGGGGGAATTTGGCGCTGGGCTAGCACTTCCTGTCTTGGAACATTGAGAAGGCCTCAGTTGTTCCTAGCAAAGAATGGGGGGCAAGGCTCTAGACCCTCAGTGTCCAGACCCTTCCCTAAGGTCCTTCGCTAGTCACCAAAGGTGGTCCCAGATAGACAGTTTCCAGCTCAACATCAGGGTCCTGCTGGATTGCCCACCTGTCTCCTGCACCTTTTCTCTCCTTAGCCGAGGTGTATACACTTCCATCTGTCTTCTGCGGCAGCCCAGTCGGGCCACTTCCGTGCCACCTCTATCCTTATTCGGTCCTGCCTCTTCTCTTGTCCTGCTGCTCCTTGGCGACTCTTTAAACACCAAACACCGGGCAGGGGAGTTGTAACAAACCCACCCAACAGACCCGTTCAAGGGCAGACAGGAGGGTTATAGTCAAAGTGGCAACAGCTCATTTATTTAGCCAAAAATAGATACTTTCTTGTACAATTTGGTTCACACATATGTACATTTCTCTGTATATACAAAAAAAAAAAAAAAGCAGGTGCTCTTATTCTCATGGAAATTCAACCACCCCGAAAATCAAACAAACAAACCTCACAAACTCAGCTAGTCTGGGGTACAGAAGCGACTTGGGAGGGCTGGGGCGCACTTATTTTATTTCTTTTTCTTTAGCTTTCCTTTTCAGGTATTCATACATGGACATGCGTACAGGTTGTAACTATACAGAGTGAAAATTTTTTTTACAATTATTACAACAATTAAAATGTGTGTTATTTCTTTTAAGAACTAGGATGAGGAGAGAGCCGACAAGACGAGAGCGGCGTCCAGGTGGTTCTGGGGTCTGGAAGAAAGAGACAGGGTAGCAAAGTACATGAGACTTGGGGCAAAGGGGGTGTATAGAGTTGGGCGACCCTACCAGGGATCTGATGGGGGGGCGTGAGGTGTGGGGGGGAGTTCACTGGAAGGGCTCTCAATGTAAAAGGATGTCCAGTGGAGGATATACTCTCGGGTTTTACTAATAAAATGGACTAGAATGGTCAGGATCCGTGGTTTGGATCTGAGAAGAAATACGAACTACCAGGTTGCTGGTCCAGGGATCAGTTCCCTCAACGCGCTACCGGTGGGCCTCCACTGACATGCCTGGACTTGGGTCAACGCGCCCGTAGATTCGGGTAGAAGCGATAAGAGTATATTTCACTTTTTTTTTTTTAAAAAAGCATGTCCCACTCCTGTTTCCCCTGGGGCAAAAGCCTACATCAGGATCCGTATTCCTCCTTTCCCTCGCCTGCCTTTCACACCATTCCCCCAACCTCCGGGTCTCTTACCGCCTGGCCACAGGCTGGAAAGCCGTCTTGAGCAACTTTTTCTCCATTTCCAAGGCACTACAGCGATCTAAGGGAAACGGGGAAGAAAAGGACCTTTTAAAGCTCTCCTTCTGACGCACAGAGCCTGGGGGCAGGGGTGGGGGCAGGCAGGTAGAACTGGGCCCCTTGCACCAATGCGCTGGCGGCCAGCCCAGCTGGGCTAGCCCGAGCGGACCCCAGAGGCCCCTTCCCCTCCGCACCCAATTCTCAGCAATCACCTGTTCCGCCCTCAGGCTCCGCGGGCCGAGCAAAGGCGGCGGCCGGGTGGCCTGCAGCTCCGGGAAGTCCCAGCAGGTGCGGAGGGGCCGAGCCCAGTAGGGAGAGTGGGTGCGGGCGTGGGCCGGGCGGCGGGCCTGCGAAAGGCCGGTTGGTCCAAGCGGGAAACTTGCCCAGCGGCCCCGAGACGAGTCTGTGAGCCGCGGCGGCAGCCGGTGAAAGTTGCAGGGCCGGGGACGCGACGGCCGCACCTGGGGAAGACCCACCGCCAGCGCTGGGCGGCGAACGGCGCGGGTTGTCGGGGCTTGTGGCTGTCTCCGCCAGGGACCAAATCTTGGGTTTCTGCAGGGAGGAGGCGGCCGCTGGTGCGGGAGCGCAGGGGTCCAGGCCCACGGGGGGCGAGGGAGGAGATGGCGGAGCCAGTGGGGGAGCCGGGGCCAGACTCAGGACCGGCAGTGGTCTCTCCTCCAAGCCCTCGGAGCTGTCGTCAGAGTCGCTATTTTTGGAGTCCAAAATGGGGCCCAGGCCCAGGTCGCTGTTTCTGCGC